TCGTGGGTGAGGTTAGAGGTTTGACAAAGGGGTGAGGAAGGAGTTCCCAGGAGGGGAAAGCCAAATTCCTGAGGCCTAACTGCATCTCCTAAGGCTCCCTGCCCTGCAGCTCAGCTCCTCATCAGTAGAGTGGGGACAGACAGGGTACTCCCCAGGCCTGCTGGCCCTAACATTTAAAATCTTTAAAGTTCACTCTACTGCCAGAGTCCTAAAAGGGAGAGCAATTAATTGTCTGTGCTGAAGCATCCTAATCTGGTCTACTCACCAGAGCCCTTTGGGAAACCCAGTGGCTGGACCAAACCCTACACACACACACACACACACACACACACACACACACACACACACAGTTTCTTCTCTAAAAAAAAGGAGAGAAAGAAAGTAAGCTCATTTGGCTGTCTAGGCCATCTGTAAGACTGGATTCTGGCTGCCCACACCGTGACATCTGATCATCCTTACCTTCACCCCCAGCTCTTTAGCTGGAGGAACAAAGTCCATCCTTTCCCTCTTCCCCCTTTGATATTTGACAGTTGGAAACCCTCAAAAAGTGCTGAGCCCTCTGTAAATGCCTTCTCCAGTAGGGTAGGCCTCCTCCAGACCCCTGACTGTGAACCCCCTGCAGGCCAGGCCTGGTCATTTTTTTTTTCTTATTCTTTTTTTGGCCTGGAATTTTGGGAACAGCAGGTCCACTGAACTTGTCATATCTTTTTCCTTTGCTATGGTCCTTGTGGAGGTTGAAGAGGCCTTTGAGATTCTGTAGCTCTGAATTTCAAAACTGGGTTATGAAAATCTCAAAACTTCATAAAGCAACAGGATAAACACAGTGTTTCTTTCTTTTTATTAAAATATTTTTGCTGGGAGAGATTCATGTCCCTAGTAATTTAAAAGTTTGCTACTAAAATTAACAGATAAAATATAAAATAGAATGCAGAGTTGTATTGTTTTTTTTGTTTTTTGGTTTTTGTTTTTATAAAAACACTGGGCTTCAAAGACATGCTATGCTTCCTGGGGACTGCACCAAGGCTACAGCCTACTAACTTCTGTCCCTGACCCACAGGGCCTGGCCTGGCCTCCAGGAAGTGGCCAGCCATTTAGCTTAGGTTCAGGTACTAACTAAAGAGGGGGCTGCCTATCCCTCCTCCCACTTCATTGCTTTCTTTCGAGGATTCTGTCCCAGGATGGAAGTAAACTGGCAGAAAGCTGTTACCAAGAACAGAGGGGTTTCCAGAGAACCACAGGTTAAGGAAGAGATAGAAGGAGGAGGTTTTAAATCTGGCTGTGTCCCTCAGGCAACTCCCTTGACCACCCTGGCTGGTGGGAATGAGACAAGAAGGCTGGGTGATTCTCCTGGGCTGTCTGGACCTTTGCTATTGCTGGGAATAAACGTGGGGTCTGCAGAATCCTAAAGCTGTTTTTCCAGTCGGTGGGCATGAGTGGTTTATCAAGCCAACCCTTTGTGGGGTTAACACTACCTCTGTCCTGTCCCCAGAGGAAATGACTTCTTGTGAACTTAAGACTCCAACAGAATTGGCTATCTGTGAGCTCACTATTGTCATGTGTGGGCCTTGTCTCCGCAGCTGTATGCCCTCACCCACCCATAACCCACCCTGCCTCCACAAGGAGGCCCTTTGATAGTCCCGTGAGCTACCCAGCTTTTATTCCAGGCCCTGTTTTTCTGTCCAAGAGATCAACAGTCATGTCTGTGCTAAAGATGAGCACAGAATTACCCAGATAATTCTGTATAATAGGATCACACCTAACCTGCCCAGTCATTCAGATTGGGCTTGTGGAAATGACCTCCTCCAGTGATTCCAATTTGGGGTGTGTGTGTGTGTGTGTGTGTGTGTGTGTGTGTGTGTGTGTGTGAGCACGGGTGCACGCTGGGGATTGAACCAGGGCCTCGTGCATGCTAACCTCGAACTCTACTGTTGAGCTACAGCCCAAGCCCCTAATTCCAATTATGAATCAGACTTGCAAGCCCCAGGCTGATGGAAGGATTACTGGGCTCTCTGGGCTTCAGTGTCCGGTCTGTAGAAGTCACTATATATGTTCCTCAGGGTGTTCGCAGCTAACAAATTTTAAAAGCTTCTTTGAAAGGCTGCAATACATTGTATTGTTAGTATTTCCATTTCAAAAAGCAGCTTCATTTGCAAAAAGACTCCCCACTGAGTCTTTAACTCACCCTTCAGTAGAACAATCAAAATCCTACTTGAAACCCCCGGCTGGGCTGGCGCCAGCTTTTCAAAAACCATTTTACCAAGCCAGGTGCATTTTATAATCTTGCTATTTTGACCAAGCTGTTTGTTGTTGTTTTAAGTAAAAGAGCCAGAGAAGGCCTGGGAAGACTTTTGCTGGCTTCTTGTCTCCACCTCCTACCAACACTCCAGCCTCTCCCCACAGCCCTGACCCGCGGGCTCCCCACTCCACCATTACTACCCCCAGTCAGAAGTTCCCAAAGAGCTGAGAAGACACTGCAAGCCATGCAGGCGAGCTAGCTGGCCTTTGGGGGTTCCCATCTTGAATTCTCAGGTTCCCAGAATCACACCCCCACTCCAAGATCTGGTTTAACTTCCCAAACCCGACTGGGGCAATGTGCCAGACCAAGGCCCTGGGAACGGGTGCATGGGACAGGAACCGCCTGCACAGGGAGGGGCAGGTGACCGGGAGGGAGTGCTCATTGACTCTAAATTGCAGGCTGCAGTGGGTCCCACGGGAATAGAGCACAGCCCAGAAAGAGGGTTTCTGCATGGTCAGGGCCCAGGACACAGAGGCTGGAACGTGGGGCTTGGTCACCAGCTCCAGAGGTCTGGGTTGCCTAGGCCACAATGACAGCCCACTCCTGCAAGGTGGCTGGTTAGTCTCCTACCAGGGTCACCTCAAGGTAGAGTCCATGTTGCGCATTGGGCAGTGAGTGGTAAGTGATCCCTGGAACACTACTCTCCAGAGTAGGCCACTCAGAAGCAGCCCCCAACCCCACCAACAAGGAACATAAACGTCAAAGATGTTTTGAGGGGAGTGACTGTTTGATGGGCACACTGAACCCTTTTCGAGGACAATGATGTTTTGAAACTATATAGAGGTGACAGTTGCACAACATTTTGAATGTACTAATTGTTTACTTTTTTTTAAAGAGAGAGAGAGAGAGAGAATTTTTTAATATTTATTTTTTAGTTTTCGGCAGACACAACATCTTTGTATGTATGTGGTGCTGAGGATCGAACCCGGGCCGCACGCTTGCCAGGCGAGCGCACATCCCCAGCCCTAATTGTTTACTTTGAACTGGTTAATTTCCTATATGATCTTCATCTCAATTAAAAATATTTTGGCTGGGGGTGTAGAGCACTTGTCTAGCAGGTGTGAGTTCTGGGTTCAATCCCTAGCACAGCCCCCACCCCCAGTACCATTTTAATTCTTAAAGGGAAAGTCCTTTGTACTGTGTCACCTCTCCCTAGCTTCCTGGGTTGCTACCTATGTTCCAGATGGAAAAAACCAAGTTGCTTAGAAGCCTTGCTTCCAGACCCCACCTGAAAAAGGAAATGTTCAAACATGTCCAAGGCCCTTGGCAGTGCTTGTCGGAAAGGGGATTGGAAGGTAGCATCAAGGTCCTATGAAGAGCCATCCCATTGGCCCAGCTAGATCCTGGCTATCCAGGTGTAGATCTGTGCAATTCTGGAAGAAGCCACCTTCGCGCTTCACCTGGCTATCCATTTATCTGTTCATTCATTATTCATCCAAGGGACACTGACCCAGCCTGTACTAGGCACCTGGTACAGAGCTGGCTACTGCAAGATGAGCAGAACACTCTCCTTGAGCATTCCAAGTGGAAACAATCATTAATAAGAGATATACACAGGGTGTGAGAGTGACTTGATGAGGACACCTAAGGGTGAAGGGTTGGGGTAGGGGCGCTGGTGGAAGCAGGTCGGAAGCAGGTCCAGGCAAGCCTGACCTGCAGCCAGCTTTGGCCGAGGGCAGTAGGAGCGTGAGGGGAGAACACCAAATGTAAGTTCACAGGCTCTCTGAGGGCTCTGCAGAGGCTTGGTTCAGAGGCTAGAAGCTGAGCTGCCCTTTCCAGAAAGGCTCCCCGGGGGCGGGGGAGGAGGGGCAGTGTTTAGGGTAGGAAAGGGTGAGTGATGCAATGATAAAGGCTTTCCAGCTCCAGAGACCCTTCTCTCCATCTCCTCAGACAGGTTAAGGAATCCCTCTTCTAGGTTCAAAGGTTCTCCTGGCAGACCAGACATAGGGCCTTGTCCCCCTCTATCTCAGTGTGGATCACACAGGGGAAGACAAGTGAGCCCCCATCCTAAGCCTCTGCCAGTTCTTCTAGCAGGATTCTGTTTATCCTGGGACATACTCCCTCCTAGTCTGGGAAACACCTCCAGGGCCAGGACCTCGGTCCTCCCCACACCCACCCACACCCTCTTAAAAAGCAAGAGAAACCAGCCAGAGGGGGTGGTACACAACTCTGAGGGAGGCTGAGGCAGAAGGATCACAAATAAGATGTCATCCTGGGCAACTTAACAAGACCCTGTCTCAAAATTTTAAAGAGGGCTGGAGATATGGTTCATGGTAAACACATCAGTCTTCAGGATTGGAGAAAGGCGGTGGGGTAGGGAGAGGGGGAGCAACATTTATGGATTTATTTTTTTTTATTTATTATTTAGTTTTAGGTGGACACAATATCTTTATTTTATTTTTATGTAGTGCTGAGGATCAAACCCAGTGCCCCATGCTTGCTAGGGAGCACTCTATCACTGAACCACAACCCCAGCCCAGATTTCTGGGGATTTTTTTAATAATTTTTTTTTGTAGTTGTAGATGGACAGAATGCCTTCATTTTATTTGTTTATTTTTATGTGGTGCTGAGGATCCAACACCAGTGCCTCACGCATGCTAGGCAAGCGCTCTCCCACTGAGCCCCAGTCCCAGCCCTACAGATTTCTTTTGAAAACAAAATTACCCAGTGCCTATTAACATCACACTTTCCATTTGCAAGGAACTCTTTTATTAACAGTTATTAAAGAGACAGTGAATGAAAAAAAAAAGATGCCGGGCACACCTCTAGGCATATAGTCCATGATGGTGTTTGTTGGATAAATGAGTGATTCCTAATAAACTGACCTTCCCAAACTGACTTTGGATACCTTTGCTCATTACTATCCGCTTAGTTTTTACTATTTTTCTTGGTTAATGTTCCAGATTTTTCTGATATATTTCTTTTCTTTTTTTCTGTCAAAAAGAAAAAAAGGAGAAAAAAGGAAATGAAGGGCTAGAGGTGAAGCTCAGGGTCCAGCACACGCTGTGCATAGCATGCATCAAGCCTGGGTCCAAGCCCTGGGGTGGGGGGGAATGGAAGAAAAAGAAAACCACCTTAGTCTGTGCTCAGCTGGCCTGGTGTCCCCAGCTCAGTTAGCCTGGTGGGAGAAATGGATGTTGCTCTGGTAGATTAATTCCCTTATCTCCTCTCCTGAGCAACAGGAAGACTCACTCACACAAGACATCCCCAACTCTTCTTTCCCCCTGAGTCATGGGTGATTTGCTCCAACTCCTCGTCCTTCATCTCATCACCTTGATCTGATGTCTTTAAGGCTCCCAGCAAGTGGTGGAACCTAAAGGATAGAAAGAGGCATAGGAAGAGGTGGTCAGTGTTCAGGCCTTGGAAGCCTCAGGGCTAAAGACTCTTCTATTTAAGATGTCTCCTAATCTGGGGCCCCTGATTTTTTTCCCATAAATTTGCCCCCTAAAATGATTCTCCACCTGTAAAATGGGAGTAGGAATGCAGGGCTTGGATTGGGCCCTTTGCGGTACTAAGTCTTAGTTTGCCCCATGGTCAGTAGGTCGGACTATTTTTTTTTAAATATTTTTTTAGGTGTAGATGGACACAACACAATGCCTTTATGTGGTGCTGAGGATCGAACCCGGGTCCCGCCCGTGCTAGGCGAGCGCTCCACCACTGAGCCACAATCCCAGCCCCCATAGGTCGGACTTTTTTTTTAAAAAATTAAATTTGGGGTGGGGGTGTGGTGGGGCTGGAGATGGCAGTGGCCTGACTTCTTTGGCATGTGTCACATGTCACGCGCAAGCCTGCCTTGGAGCGAGGCTCGTCGGTCTGATCTGGTTTGGCTCCTACCGGCGGTCCAGAGTGTCTGATGTAAGTTTGGTTCTCTCTTCCATCAGTGTCCGCGTGTCCCGGATTGATAAACCTTTAACGAATAAAGGTCGAGATCGTCCAAAACCTCCTCCCACCCCCAGCAACCCACTGTCAGCCCTAGAGCATCGCTGCCAGGCCAAATTTCCTGTGGCCCCGCCTGAATGACGAAACCGGGGATGGCCATTGCACTCTCTGCAAGGCTTGTCTGAGATATCGGTTCCCGGTTTGATGAATTCTGAGTCTTTTAGACAAAGCGGGGACAAAGGGCTCTAGGACCTGGCGGATGCCCCCTCTCGCCGCTGCAGGCGGGGGAGGCCGGGCAGCGCTGCTGTCGGTCGGTCCCTAGGGCCCGCGGATGGGTCAGTGTGTCAGGTCTGTTGTGGGTCCTTGTTCTCGGCCGCTGGGCCAGGGGGCAGGAGCCCAAGCCCAGAAACGAATTCCTCTGACCACCTACCCAAGGCTTCAGCAGTGCAATGGGAGCGGGTAGGACAGGGGACTAGGCTCGTTTGGGGGCACAGATCTCAAGAACCCATCCTCTGGGGCTCTAGGGTAACAGGCCGACAGGCAGGTGGGACCGCGGGGAGCGGAAGCACCGAGCTCAGAGTTGCTCAGTCTTTGGATTCCACCCCCATCCCGATCCTCTCCACGCAAGGACAGCGTGGAATACGTGCGCGAGAGGTGGCCGGGTTAACGTCTGCCCCCCGCGCCGCGGTCCCACAGGCATCCACCGTGAGCCCAGTTGTGCCTTTGAGTCTCAGGCTCCCAGATGCTAGGGGTGACTGTTTTTTCTGCCCGCCGCCCCCCAAGTTCTCCAGTCTCCCTCGAGCTCCGTCACAGGCTACCCCCTCCCCCAGCAACGCGACCCTATAATAAACAAGTCTTTCCTTGATCCTCCCCTGCCGCGAGCGCCCTCAGGGACCTTGGCAGCTGCAGCCGCCGCGGATCCCTTCCAGAAAGGGGGAGTGGCCACGGCTCGGTGTTCTGCCCGGAGCGTTCCGGGGCTCAAGAGGGGCGGGGCCAAGCCGCTGTCACCGGGCAGGAGAGAACGTTGCGAACGTGCGCCGGGAGCCCATTGGCCGAGGTGGGCCACACTCCCGGGTCTGGATTGGGCCGCGGTGGGAAGGGGGCGTGGCCTCGCCGCTCTAGCCCTTATAGGCTGCTCTGCGCTGGTGCTAGGGATCTCAGCAGGCTAAGGGGGAGGTGCGAGTGGGTTGAAGGGACAGGTCTGGGCAGCGCTCGGGGGTTGGCACCAGTTCGCGCACCCATTCAAGCGGCAGGACGCACTTGTCCCAGCAATTCTCGCTGACCGCACTAGCTGGTGAGTGGCCCTTCTGTGTGTACCGTTCTCTGCGTGGGACGGCCTCGGCGATACTGGTCCTAGCAGTCTTGTTCAGCCCCCAGACTGACGCTCCGCGGTGTCCCTCTTGTCTTTCAGCGGCTTCTGAGCTCCGGGATACTGAGCACATCGGCAAACGTCCTGGCGTCTGACCTCACCATGCCTAGTCTTTGGGACCGCTTCTCGTCCTCCTCTTCTTCATCCGCGTCTCGAACTCCCACCCCAGATCGGCCGCTGCGCTCAGCCTGGGGGTCGGCGGCCCGAGAGGAGGGGCTAGACCGCTGCGCGAGCCTGGAGAGCTCGGACTGCGAGTCCCTGGACAGCAGTAACAGTGGCTTCGGGACGGAGGAAGGTGAGCAGTGGGCTGGTGCTGAATGAGACGAGGGTCCGGGGAGGTGAGGAAGCACCGCACTGGAAGGGGTCAGAACCATTTTGGTTTTCTATCATCCCAACAGGACCCAGATTGCCCGGGCGTGGGTATTGGAGTAGAGGGTATACGAATGCGGGGCGGGAACTGGGCAAAAGCTCAGCTTTCTTAGAAAAAAGCACCTCCCCCGCCTGTGTATCTTCTGTGGAAGCTGCTCTAATACCCTTCCTGGTGTGCTCCCCCTCCAGATTCGACATACCTGGATGGCGTGTCCCTTCCCGACTTTGAGCTGCTCAGCGACCCCGAGGATGAGCACCTGTGTGCCAACCTGATGCAGCTGCTGCAGGAAAGCCTGTCCCAGGCGCGACTGGGCTCTCGGCGCCCTGCTCGCCTGCTGATGCCCGGCCAGCTGGTGACCCAGGTGGGCAAAGAACTACTGCGCCTGGCTTACAGTGAGCCTTGCGGCCTGCGGGGGGCACTGCTGGACGTCTGCGTAGAGCAAGGCAAGAGCTGCCACAGCGTGGGCCAGCTGGCTCTCGACCCCAGTCTGGTGCCCACCTTCCAGCTGACCCTCGTGCTGCGCCTGGACTCTCGCCTCTGGCCCAAGATCCAGGGGCTCTTCAGCTCTGCCAACTCTCCCTTCGTCCCTGGCTTTAGCCAGTCCTTAACGCTGAGCACAGGCTTCAGAGTCATCAAGAAGAAGCTGTACAGCTCAGAGCAGCTGCTCATTGAAGAGTGTTGAACTTCGTCCTGGGTGAGGGGCACAGTGCCCCCCACGGCAGAGGCAACGGAACTTTTGGGGTGGAGACCAGCAGTCAGGGGCTGAGGGACTGATGCCTGTGTTAGAAGACTGACAACAGCCACCTGAGGGAAAGAGATGGAGGTGGAGGACTAGTGTTTCCTGGGAAGCTCATGGGGTCTTGCACAGGTGGCTCCCCAGTGGGGCAAATGCCCCTCAGTACTGTAGCATGAAACAAAGGCTTAGGGGCCAATCAGGCTTCTGGCTGGATGTGTATGTAGCATGTACCTTGTTATTTTTATTATTACTGACAGTTAAAACAACAGTGGTGTGACAGAGGCAGGAGGGCAGCTGGGCTGCTCTGGCCTCTGAGGGTTGTGTGTTCATGGTAGTGGCCAGGAGGGAGGGGGGAGTTCTTGGAGGTGGTTTGTATCATGGTCTGAAGGGACCAAGTGTGTTTGTTGTATTTTTTTTTTTTTATCTTTTTGTTTTTCGGATTGGAGCTTCACTACTGACCTGTTCTAGGCAGCTATCTTACAGACGCATGAATGTAAGAGTAGGAAGAGCAGGTGTTGGGATCACTTGAGATCTTTGACACTTGAAGAAAAAAATACACCTGGGAGCTGCGTCCACCCCATCCCCACCCCATTTCTGGAGAGTTGAACTGTGAGGGGATGGGGCTGAGTGGGGCTGGGGGCTGGAACCCCCTCCCCCAGAGGAGTGCCATCTGGGTCTTCCATCTAGAACTGTTTACATGAAGATACTCACTGTTCATGAATACACTTGATGTTCAAGTATTAAGACCTATGCAATATTTTTTACTTTTCTAATAAACATGTTTGTTAAAACAGTTGGTTGAATCTCATCAGTGTCCTGAAATGGAATGGAGAGGGATGGATTCTGATAAAAATTAGGTTTCATCAGACTCTGGGGTCTACCTCCAGTCCTTTCCAGGGCTGCCTGCCAGCCTGGTAACAAGTATATGGACTGCGCTATCTGTGCCAGGAACCCTGGCTCCCTGCTCTGTGCTGGCTGAAAGCTACCAGGGGAACCTGCTGGAAAGCACCCTGAGGTAAGGGGTGAGTCTGACCTCCCTGGAAGCCAGTCTCTAGGCAGGGAGAGTTCACCTGACTGCCTGGGTTAGAAGGTCCAGGCACAAAGGCCTCCTGAGCCTAAAGTCCCAAAGAAGAGATGTTTTCTTCTTGTGAGAAAAGTCACAGTTCTGTTTGGTCTGCAGAAATTAAAATTACACATTTAATATCTGGATAGGAAAAGGTCAAAAGGAGGAGTTTGAAAAGGACTGCTTAGCTCAAGCCTTGCACTAGACAAGGAACTCTGGGCTCAGAGGGACTGAGTTGCCTCTCGGAGGAGGTGTGGCCCAGACAGGTGTGGAACCACGAACACACAACTGTAAGACAATGCCCTTGGTGACTGACTCCTGCACTCTCTGGGCCCCTATTTCCTTATCAGAGAAGTTGAGATTGGGCCAGCTGAAGGCTACAGCCCTTCCCACTTCTCCCTCCCTCCCACACCAACTGGCCCCTGGAGAGTTGTTATCGCCTTTGTTTCTCTTCCTGGTCCCAGACAGGCCCTGTTTGCCCAAGACTATAAAACAGTGGTTCTACCACTTGATTGTGGAGTCAGATTGCTCTGGGCCCTGGGTAATGCAGGCCTGAGGGGAGAGTGGGGCCCCAGGAACATAGGTTTTCAACAGGGATTCTCCTGAACTTTGGAATAGCTTAGAAGACTCACACCTCTTTGGTAAAACTGCAGGAGTTTTTCCCTCAAATGAATGAACTTAGGTTAGAATTAGATTTGCATATGGATGGTATATGACTACACAGAAGGTGCACAGAGCATATAGTTTTAGGAAGGCCTCACACCAGCATGCTTAGTTCACTCTCCTAATAGCCACCCTGTGGAGGGAGGGGCAGGGGGTTATAGTATTTTACAGATTAGTAGAGGCCCAAGTCCTTGAATAGCCATCTTCTTGGACATGGGCTGACCTTGGCCATTTAGCTTGTTGGGTTCAGGGCTGAAAATGAAACAGGTGGAGCACTTGGGTGGTGTCTGAGAGGTACCTGCTTTCCTAGTTTCAAAAGAGGAGCAAGGAAGACATGGCCTATTGTCTCCTAAGAGTCTTGCTGGTGTTTGGAGGCAGGAGCTGGAAGGCTCCATGATCCCTTTCCAAGCCCTGGAGGCAGCTGAGCACACTCTGCTCCTTTTTGGAGACATTCAGACTGAGACAGGGGTGAAGCATGAGTTCCCCCAGAGAGCTCAACTAGGATGCTCTCCTGGAGCCAGATCGGCTTTCCTTGTTCTCACAAGGCCTGAAAGTTTCCCAAGCAGGACAGAAGGGTGCAGAGAGAGAGCCATGAAGCTTAGGTTTCATAGCAAAGGGAAGAAGCTTGCTGAAGCCTAACCCAATTAGGCCTAGGTCTCCTACAAAGTGGCAAGGAGTTTTGCCCCAGGTGTTGGGCTTCCTAAGAGAAGATGAGGCAGGCTCCTTTGTTGCTTCACCTGAAAGTAAATAAAATTTATAGACTTGCACCACATAGCTGGGCCTGGTAGAGCACACCAGCAATCCTAGCAACTGGAGGCAGGAAGATCATGAGTTCAAAGCCAGCCTTGGCATTTTAGTGAGACCTTGTCTCAAAATAAAAAATAAAAAAGGCTAGGGATGGGGCTGGGGATGTGGCTCAAGCGGTAGCGCACTTGCCTGGCATGCCTGCGGCCTGGGTTCGATCCTCAGCACCCATACAAACAAATATGTTGTGTGTGTCCGCCGAAAAAACTAAAAAAATAAATATTAAAATTCTCTCTCGGGCTGGGGATGTGGCTCAAGCGGTAGCGCGCTCGCCTGGCATGCGTGCGGCCCGGGTTCGATCCTCTGTACCACATACCAACAAAGATGTTGTGTCCGCCGAGAACTAAAAATAAATAATAAAAATTCTCTCTCTCTCTCTCTCTCTCTCTCTCTCTCTCTCTCTCTCTCTCTCTCTCCCTCCTCTCTCACTCTCTCTTAAAAAAAAAAAATTCTCTCTCTCCTAAAAAAAAAAAAAAAAAAAAAAAGGCTAGGGATGTAGCTCAATGGTAGAGGGCCCCTGGGTTCAGTCCTTAGCACTACACACACACACACACACACACCTTACATAGAAAATCCAACTTAGGAAAATGCTTTCAGAAATTGTTCTATTTGAACTCCCATTGTATACGATTCCCTTTTATATTTCTATTTCCATTTCATCATGTTACTGTTCTAGAACTTTTAATAGCTTCCACCAGATTTCACTGTCTGCCTTTCAAACCTTTGGCAGTTGGCCCTGTACTTCCTACCCAGGCTTACCTTCCACCACTTGTCTTATTTTGGTACAGGTTAGCATGGTCTGCCTACTTCCTTAATTGCAGACTCTTCTGATTTTAATGCTTT